AAAAATACACTTTATATGTAGGTTTAAAATTCTACAAAAGACACAGTTAATGTAAAAAAAATTTTTTTTTAGCAAAATGTATATTTTACTCAGAATTATTGCACTCCTATTCGATTGCGCTCTGTCTGTTTAGCGCGCATGCGTGCAGATGTGCTCGTTGCGCTCGCATGTATTGCCCACTCCTAACAGCAATATGGATATGTTTGCATGACTATCTAACATTTACAGATGAAAAATATACCTGTGACATTTCAGTTATGCACTGAGGAAAACACATCGTCTCAAATGCATTAAACAGCACAGATATATTCGCTGTTTGTCATGGACCGATTTGATCCATGATTGACATTAAAGTCCCCATGAAATCAAAATTGAAGTTTTTTTGGGTGTTAGTATCAATATGTTAGTCTTAAGTTTATCTATAAGGCAGTGTGCTCCAAAACAGTGACAAAATTCACATTTAGAAGATATAAGGATTCAAAGTTTGCAGTTCGTCCCTTCCGCCAAAACGGCTCGATGATTTTTTTGACGTCACATCGTACTTTAGCTTCTCATCAAACTTTGTCCAATCAAATGCTCTCTAGAAACCCGCCCTGTCTTCCTGTTTCAGTTAAAATGACGTCAACACAGAGTAACGCTGCGTGTTTCTAAGCATTTCATGGGACCTTTAAGGTCTGCTTATAAGCGTGCACAAATTAATGAGATTGTGTACTTAATTTGTCATTTATGGAACCGCTTTAGCCCCGATTGATTTGTTAGGTTATTTCAAGTCAGGTTTTGAACTTTAATCCTAGTTTTTCCTCGGGTCTCCGTGGTGCTGTGATGCGTCATATTCACGCAGCAGCATCGGTGATGAGAGAGCACGCTTGAGAAACAGTTTAGAGAGAAGAAATCTATCTACATATAAAATATTGGTCACAGATTATTGGTCACTTTCTAAACAATAAAAGTATAGCGCATCCACTAGTAATTATATATAAATGAATCGTTTTTTTCTGTTAAAATCAATGAAGCTCTCTAAACAGCATAATGAATCTCATATTTACATCGCGTCTGCAATTAGTAATGAGATGATTCACGAGCATGCAAAACTGCACTTAAAAACTGCAGCGCTTTCAGTGGTGTGTGAATTCTGACAAAACGTTTCTGATTGGCCATTGCGTTCAAGAAATCAACAGATATATCTGTGATTGGTTACATTGCTTTTGGTTACACTGCAAAAACACGGTGAGGGTATTTAGCACTTGGCTAAGCGCTCCAATTGCAGCAAGGCCGACATCAGGGATTCCATGACTAACAATTTGGGGGCGGCAATTGCAATCATAATTATCATAATTAGAATTATTTCTGAAAATCATTAGACACTGACAACTGGCGTAATGACTGCTGAAAATTCAGCTGTCATTACAGGAATAAATGTTAAAAAAATTATTTAAATAGAAAATTTTATTAATTAAAATAATATTTCACACTCAATAAGTCCACTCAAATGATGCACCGACAGGAAATTTCTATGTAGCATACTTGTTCCTGTTTGCAATAGCGGTACTGTGATGTAACTTGGTGTAGTACAGCTGTACTGGGCAACCTGACGCTACCCTCTCTCTGCTCACATGCTTTGATAATAATAGCTTTGTAGGTTTATACATTATTTGGACAATTCGTTTTTAAAAAGTTATATCTGATTCTGTTGCATGGAAATGAATAAAAACTATATATTGCTATTTAATATTAAGGTAACAATTTACAATAAGGTTCCATTAGTTAATGTGTTAGTTAATTAATCTTTCTTAATGTTAGTTAATGAGAATACAGTTGTTCACTGTTAGTTCATGTTAATTCAGAGTGCATTAACTGTTAACACGCACAACTGTTGATTTTTAATAATGCATTAGTAAATGTTCAAATTAACATTAACCAATATTAATAAATGCTGAAGAACTATTGTTCATTCTTAGTTCATGTTAACTAAAGTAGTTAACTAATGTTAACTAATGAACATTATTGTAAAGTGTTACCAATATTAATATAAATTCTGTCAAGTTTTATGGTTACTTTCAGTAAAAGTTTGGTTATTTTATTGGCTTGTGTTTTTTTAAATCCAGTATCATTCAAATTGAGTTAAATTAAAAAGTCTTACAAAATTACTTTATATTATTTAATAAAATAAATAATCATTACAAAGCATTTTCGGATTCGGTTTCAGTTTTCAGCCAAGTGCATCCAGAATTTTCATTTCGGTGCATCCCTAACATAAATCATTAATATTCAACAATTTACAGACGTAAAAACAACCATTAAAAATTTAATCTACCAACCTGAAGCTTCTGTGGGGTTAAACTCAAGTTGGGGACTTGACGATGACCTGGATCATTTTCCCAGGAATCTGGTGAATTCTGATGGTGAGACTATAAACCAGTAAATAATCAAACATTGCTTGATAGTTGTAACAGATTAAACAAACTAAAATGCTGTCCTTTAGTACCCTGGCTGGACTTGCAGTCCTCTTCCTTTTGGCTAGGCTGGACTGGTCATCAGTCTGGCCAGAGACTATATGAGGGGGAAGAGACTGGCCTGGGATTTGGGACTGGTCTTCATTGCTCTGATGAGCTTTGCAGGTGGTCTGCTATTGGCAACAAATAAAAAATTGCAGCTAGGAGAGTTGCATGAACATTTCACTAAAGTAACCAAAATTGCATTTATGCACCACTGATTGACAATGAAAAAGTCAATACTGACGTTTCAGTGTCAAACTGCTCCCTTATACAATAAGCAAAAGGATTGTTTATGCCAACTTTCTCACTCTTAATTATATCAGTTAAATATATGAAAAATATATAATAATTTGCTGATTTAAATGGTTCTCCAAAATGTGTGACCAATATGTTGAAACAAAGGATGATGTGTGCTGATGAGTGCTATGGTCTAATGAACTAGAGCAAATAACTTTAAACCTTAGCAGTTTAAGATTATTCTCCAGAATCAATGTTAACAACAACATTGTTCTGTATGACTGGAAATTAAGGACCATTTAGTGGTACTTAATAATGAAGTCAGGCCTTACCACACACTTTGATGTTTCATTAAAGGAATGTCATGGATTCAATACAGGCTAAGCTCATTCGACGGCATTTGTTATACAAGTTCTGTGGTTATGGGGCTTCTGCCATTTCAAAACAACATACGGCCATACTGCAAGATTTTTTTTGTTTTTAAGAGAAGTCTCTTTTGCTCACCAAGGCTTCTATTATTTGACCCAAAATACAGTAAAAACAGTAGTATTGTAAAATATTTATAATATAAAAATGATAAAAATGTTTCATTATATTCTAAAATCCAGTAACTTCATTTGAGTTTCACATGATCCTTCAGAAATCATTCTAATATGCTGATTTGGTGTTCAAGATTTTTTTTTTTATTATAAACGTTGACAGTTGTGCTACTTAATAGTCTTGTGGAAACTGTGATAATTTTTTTTTCTCCAGGACTCTGATACATTTTTATAGATAAAATAAATAAATTAGTGACATCAAACTTTTTATGATAGTATGCATGTGTAATATGGTTGTCAAAAGTACCGAGTTCGGTACCAGTCGGTACTGAAGTTTTAAAAACGTCCATTTCCTGCTAACATTTGAGTGCTGTTGAGCCGATTCTTAAACACTGCTGATTGGCCAATGTGTTCACGCACTCAACAGATATGACTGTGATTGGCTACAATGACCAATCAACAGTGTATAAGAATCATCTCAACAGTGCTCAAATGTTACCAGGAAATGGACGTTTTTAAAATTTCAGTACCAGTAAATCGATACTTTTGACAACACTAGTATAATATTTAATAGCTTTCTGGCTGTACTATTTAAACAAGCATGCATTTTAATTTTAATTGCCTGACTTTACTTTCATTGTACAATAAACACCTTATTGTAACTGCAAAATGTGCTTTAAAATTTTTTTTAAATTAAGGGTCAAGTTCAAATTGTTTTCTGTAGTGAACCATAATGCCACCAATAGCGTCAAGCTCAACCTGTAGTGAACCCAAAAGATTTCTTTAAAATGTCACAATATCCAATAGGGATGTAACGATTAACCGCGAGCCGGTTGAAAATCGATTTAAATATGTGACAATTCAAATCGGTTGAGATGCTAAACAAATCGCGATTCAATTAGGGGTAGGAGTTTATATGTCTGAGGGGAACTTGCGGTCTTTCGATGGTATTTTTTCTTTCCCTCTTGCCTCTGTATAACGCATATCAGGGCTCCAGACTCATTCTTCCCACTGGTCGCTCTTTTGCAACTAACTTTCTCAGCTGGTCGCACGAGCACATGATTTGGTTGCAATATATATATATATATATATATATATCAGTCTTTTACTTGACTTTCGCTTGAAAACCATCCATCGTTTCTGCAATATGCACGTCATTTTTGCTGCGTGCAGCTTCGCGCTCGTGCTGACGCGGCAAGTAGGTATACTTCTGTTTTGTTATGCTTTCGTTTGCCCTTTGATGTTTCTCATATGCAACAGAAATTGCAGCGCTTATGAGTTGACCAACGTGGTGGTCGCGCCAGTGCGACCGCACACAAAATTGAGTCGCACAGGCAGAAAAAATGGTCGCAGTCTGGAGCCTTGCATATTAGAGTTCAGCTGCTCGCTGTCCCTGTTGTAATTTAGATTAAAAACTGCTCATGTTGCATGTATGCAGCATCTTTGTTTGGATTGTGATTAAAATGCAGTGGTTGCCTCTAATTTTAAATGGAAAGAGCACAGACAAAGCCTTAGTATGTTTATATAAAGAGATTTATTTTATTTGTGTTACTTATTTATTTGATTTGGGGCTTGTTTTAAAATTTTAATTTAGTTTGTTATTTACATTTACATTATATTTCAATTTTGTTATTTAGCAAATGCTTTTATCCAAGGCGACTAACAATAGGACAATAGAAGCAATCAAAACCAACAAAAGAGCAATAATGTACAAGTGCTATTTTAGTATATTATTATAGTGTTATATTTCAATTTCACAAAGAAACGTTCAGTAGTTTGTCCAAGCAATAATAAAAGGACACATATAATTTATAATTTGTCTTAAATCTCATTTTGTAAAAAAAAAAAATCGTGAATCAAATCGAATCGTGAGTTGAGTGAATCGTTACATCCCTGATTATCCAAGCTACCACTAACAAATCGTTTTAATGAGTCTAAACCATTAGATGGTGTAAGAGTTTCTACTGGCTTGTCTAGCTGATCTGTTCTCACCTGTTGTGTTGTGTTGAGCGCTCCCTGTCTGGAGGTGAGCTCTGCTGGGATTGGTAGGCTCCATGCCTCCTCAATACTAGGGAGCATTTTACTTTTACTTGGTAAACTACCTTGCTGAAGATTACACAACTGAGCCTAGAAAAAGATTGCGCAAAAAACATGTTCAGTGCCGGATTCAGCTAAGCTTGAGTCAATGCAATGGTGGAATGAATCAAATCACAGATGAAAATGACACTCATATCATCCTCAGTGTATAATATGTCAGACATGGGGACGTGATTCAACTCAAAAAGGAAGGAACTTAAAAACGAACAATGTTCACAATCTTCCTGAATGAAAAACACAATGATAGGCACATTAAAATGAAACATGTACACTTCCTCTCCTGATAACGTCATGCGCAAGCACTCTCTCTACCTGGAGGCATTTAATGCGAGCGGTGAGAGCTGGGATGTTACTGCAGGACTTGCTGCACGTGGCATTGATGTAGCACTTGATGGCATCCTGCGGCTGGTTGCAGGACTCGTAGAGTGTGCCCAGGTCCATCCAGGCGGCCGCATGGCTGTGGTCCAGTTGCACTGCACAGATATATGCCTGCAGTGCATCCATCGGCTGGTTCTGCTGCTGATACAACACACTGGAGAAGCAAGCACAGCAGAGGAGTTAAAAAGGGAAAGCTAAATAAACAGATGGATCATAACTGGCTGCCATAGGTTATTGCATCAAGAAACAATTCATATCTTCCACATCAAATTTGGCCATGACAACACATGGATGACGAACATTTCAAAACATTTCGTAACAACTATAGACAAATGTACCATTTTTTATTTTCTGATTAGCTTTGCTGACATTTTGGGTGGTTCCTTGTGGTCTAATTGGGTAAAAAGGTTTCCACAACTTGTGATAGGACAAAAGTTGTGTTTGTACATGGTTGCTTTCAGTGTTAAGATTGTAATAAGAAGGTGATTACACAGCTCAGAGGGGAATGCTTTAGCTTAAATGTCTTGAGTATTTCTGTCTCTCCCCTGAGAGCAATATAAACCAAGCCTGAGGCAACATCAGCCCCAAACGACCCCATTTACATCCAGCTACCAGAAAACAAACAACAAGAATGTCTCATTTTAATGTGCAACAAATGCACATAAATAATCAATGGAACCAGCTTAACCTCACAAACAACAATCATTAAGAGCTTACCCAATTGAGCACCATGTATCTGCACTGGCCTCAGACTTATCAATAGACTGTCGGTAAGATATGAAGGCATCTTGGACCTTCCCAATATTTGAGTAGCACCTGTATAACAAGCAAAAAACACATCAAATCTAGGCACTTTCAGGCATACAAGTTGTAGAGCTTAAATGTGAGAATTTTATTTATGATTATGGATTTGACGGACACTTTCAGCAAATTACAGTGGATAAGATAAACTTTTGAGTGATGCATGAACTGATGAAATGTATGAGATACATAAACTCAATTTTATTAAAATAAAACTAGAAAAAATTGATCTAAACAAAATAATAATAATAAAAAACAAAATAATAATAATATAATATAAATGTCATTTAAATCGGGTTACATTTTTGCTTACCTGCCCAAGAAATACCAAGACTGTCCCGAATTGGGGTCTGCTTCTAGGGACTTCTGCAGACACTGAATAGCATAGCTGTTCTTGTTGGCTTTATCTCCCAACTGTTCGACCGTGTGATGCATCCAGCCTGAGGGAGCGATGGGAAACATGAGGATAAAATAAGAAACTGCATTCTCAATAAAACAACTAGAACACTCTCTGCCACAACACTAAGCCATGGTGTACACTGTGGAGGCTGTTACACTGGTACTCGTAAAGGGAGCAAATGGTTCGCTCTTGTTATCTTCCGGGTAGGGTGGGGAGATGAGGTGGAGAAGGATCGGGGGGGGGCTGCTACTACCACCAGCAGATTCAAAAGGTCTCAGCAGAGATGGCTCTTTCCAAACAGCCCCTCTCCTCTCCACTCCCAGCCAGCCAGAAGTTGTTAAGGAGAACCAGACCGTGTGCAGACAAAGAACTTCCCCCATGTGGCCTGGCTTCTCCTAGGCACTGATCCCAGCCGAGCTCTTAACACCTGTGGCAAGCGCCTGCACCCGGGACACGTTACTACAGCAACTAGACCATTGCCGACAACTGCAGGGGCAAAGTGGCAATGATTTTATGTGGCAAGCTGGGGGTTTTTTTTTTTTGGCACTTTCTTTTTGGACTAGCAAAAGAAAGAAGCTTGGTGTGATGAAGAACTAGGGTTTGAAGATTCACAACTCGCAACTGTGCCAATTATTCAAATTATCTCATTACTTTTTGATGCTTTTAACCCAAAGTACCTTGCAGACAGCTACATCCTGGAGTGCTTTGCTCATTGGTGCCACTTTCCTAGTTTATGGATTGCCCTTGGCTCAGATTTCTAACCACACCACGGTATCCCAAAAGCAATCTGCACATTTATTATTAGCAACTGCATCTGGCAAAATTGCACACCCTAGAGAACGGAAACATATCTTAGAAAACCTGGGTTGTACATTTGGGGATGCCCACTAACATTATTTGGGGAGATGGCATGATGTGAGGACTGTCTGAAAGCTGAATGGATGAATTATGACGAACAATTACATAATCTGACAATTTAAAAAATGGCTGAAAAACCTAAATTAAATATTCTCTCTTTACAATGCATTTCAAAATACACCCCAGTACACATCTGTGGAATTTGTGACTGCAGAATTCCACAAACAGCTGTGCAGAATTCCAAAAATGTAAATGCCAGTTAACATTAACATCCCCACCCTCTTGCATGCTCTTTTTTTCACCCAACAAGACTGTAATATTTACCATAGTTTGCCACATACATTCATTATTACCACATTGAGAATGATCCAGATCTTGTATGCAAAATCTGTGCAGAAATTTGCAGATTGCATTCTTTGACTATGTTATTGAGAATCCCACTAACATTATTTGGGGAGATGGCATGATGTGAGGACTGTCTGAAAGCTGAATGGATGAATTATGAAGAACAATTACATAATCTGACAATTTAAAAAATGGCTGAAAAACCTAAATTAAATATTCTCTCTTTACAATGCATTTCAAAATACACCCCAGTACACACCTGTGGAATTTGTGACTGCAGAATTCCACAAACAGCTGTGCAGAATTCCAAAAATGTAAATGCCAGTTAACATTAACATCCCCACCCTCTTGCATGCTCTTTTTTTCACCCAACAAGACTGTAATATTTACCATAGTTTGCCACATACATTCATTATTACCACATTGAGAATGATCCAGATCTTGTATGCAAAATCTGTGCAGAAATTTGCAGATTGCATTCTTTGACTAATCAAGATTGAAATCACACAGCAAACAATCATCTACATAGGAAGCCCACTATTTAAAATAAAGCCCGGTTTCCCAAACATTTTGACCAATGAATTTTCATAACTTTTCCCAGCTGTTTGTGATTACTGGATGGATTAAGATCATTTTGTGAACACTGCACTGCAGATGATGAAATATCTAATAGCCGAGAATAACTAGATGCATATCTGATGACAGAAATCAGGACTTTTCCATGACTTATTTTATTAACTTCCATGACTTTTCCAGGCATACAAATCACAAATTCTGATATTTCCAGATTTTTTATGACTGTGGGAAGCAGGAAAACAAGCAAGTAAAACACACACTCACCTAATTGTTGGAGCGTAGTTGCCTTCACCTGTGCAGGGAGATTCTCTGTTTGTAACAGACTCTCGTAAGCTTCCTTTGCGATACGATATTTCTTCTACAGACAGACAGAGAAGGGGAGAGGATGTTTTAACAGACAAAAGGGTCAGCGCTTTTACGGCCCCTCCGGGTGGACACAAAGGGCCTCGTCAGTCAGACCACAATGTACGGTCTCAGGAAGAGAGGAAACACACTGGACACTGACCAGGCCAGACACAGGGACGCAGGAGGAGACAGACAAACACACAGACAGACGCAGGGGGAGGGTCAGTCCAGACCAGACTAGACTTAAGTCAGACAAACAGAGACATGCTCTGTATCAGTGCAACTTGAGAAGCCCTCTCAGAGTAAGTGTTTGTTTTTCTTAGCAACCTTGACACAGATCTTTGTTGGAGCTGATTGCTAGACCATCATAGCTGACCAACCTGAGCAACATGACTCCAAACACACTTAAAAGCAATCTCATCTGTGTGTGGTGGACAATAAAATCGACCTATTGTAAAACTTAGGCATTGGTTGGCTGATTAGTGCAGTCATCATTCCTTACAGCAAAGTTTTGATAGAAAGAGTATGTAAATATATATGAGACTAACAGGGCTTATAGCAACAAAAAAAAATCCTGAGCCTGAACTTTTTTCCGGGGGCGGGGCGGTGCGGGGCGGGGCAGCACATGCAAAGCATGCAATGACTGTGGCAACTTTAACATTTGAAAGGATACTATTGCAAAGTTACTGATTTCTTTATTCAAACTGATTTTTTTTTCATGAATATATGGTTGACCTGAAGAATGAAAGCTGTATCATACACTTGGAAAATTATGAGCTTTATCACCGCTTATCGACACTAGTGGTGTGACAATACAGATACAGAAAATATTTTAATACTATTTTTAAGAAATTTTCAATGACAAAATATTTGTCTTTTAATTACAAAAAGTACAACAATGCAATTGTATTTAGAAATATTTTAACTAATCTAGGGCTGTAACTAATGATTATTTTGGTAATCAAGTAATCTACTGATTATTTTGACAACGGAGTAATCTGATATTTTTTTAGTAACAAACAGACCTAAGTGAAAACCAGACCTTAGACTATTAACATATAAACTAACGATGAGGCAATAATAATTGGCTCAAATAAAATATCAAAACCAAGAAATTACATGATTGTATTGAACAACACCGTTAAAATATATAATGTACTATGCCTATACATAATATGCACATAACCAACTTGAGTACATTATGTATTAAAACAAATACCGGCAGAGGGTGCCAACGGCCTGGTGACATTTCACTTTACAGCGTGATTAAACAATGTTTAAATCAATTTAATTTTAATATTTGGCCACATGCAGAAACTTTTATTTTCAAATCGCGATCTACAATACATGGCATATTTAGACATAGGTTGATGTATTCTCCTGTGCTGGCAAAGGTTTATACATGAGTTACGTTACAAATCTAGTGAGAATGCACACTGTTTTTCCAGATGAACGTTAAGCAATTCAAATTCACAGCATATGCAGAGGAAGAGTTTAGCCCAGGGCTGTCCAAACATGGTCCTGGAGGGCCGGTGTCCTGCAGAGTTTAGCTCCAACCCTATTTAAACACACCTGAATCAGCTAATCAAGCTCTTACTAGGCATAGAAAGTTGGAGTTTGGACAGCCCTGGATTAGCCCCTTTCACACATACAGTCTTTACTGGTAAATCACCAGTAAGTTTCCATTAATAGAACGTGTGAAAAGGACCTTTTCAAAAATCCCGGTAAATTTGTTCTGGCAATCATATCGTTTTATGGAGATGACATGATTACCCTGAGCTGTTTACAAAGCTCCGCTGCTTTTTAATTAGTTATTCTATGTAAATATGCACTAGGCTAGATGGACATCTTTGACCATTGCGCCTCGCAGCTTTTTGTTGTGCTTCTCCATTCATTAGGGCTGCGACTATTATGTGCGTCTCGTGTTTATAAGAGCAAAACATTCTAATTGTAATGTTAGTTTGGTTGAAAGTGAAAGCTGTGCTCCTCTCATTCCATTGTTAGGTGAACACATGGACTAGAAATCAATCAACAAGATTTTTTTTTTTTTACGTAGGACTATTTTTTTTCCGCAGCCAAACGCTGCACGCCAGAGATCCGGCACAGTGCCGGAGAACTTTAAACCCTGGATTAAATACAATTGCATTCAATTTTAATTTAATATAAGGCGAGGTGGATAAGAACTATGTTTGTTGAACAGAAAAGATTGACTGAGTAACAAGAGTCTATCGCTCATCACAGAGACTAACTAAAGGTAAGTTGAAGCAAAACCAAGAGGGCAAGATGGGGATCGGTTGGTTGAAAACACACAACGTCAAGGAGGCACCCCAGAAACAAATCCATCAATCAAGAGTGTATGTTTGTAAAAGCAGTAAACTGTGAGCTAAAGAAAACCCCAGGACCAACAACACTGCCCTGTAACCTTTAGAACCTGCTTCCTTTACAAACAATCATTTACAATGCCAATAGAACACAACAGTAGGGTTCTGGCCATTTTTAAAATCACTTTAAATTTGGCAATTAAATATGAAGTACTAGTGAAATTACAAGATTCACCCATCAGAAAAGCTGAGGGTAGCATGAAAATGGTGATCATGGCAAGTAGTAGCTGCAGTTTCTGCAGGGCATTGGAGGTATTTAAAGTAATGGTAAGTAGTGTTTTCTAAAACTAATAACATCTAAAATGAAAACAAACACACCGCAAAGCACTGCTAATGCAGTCATTTTTTTTTAAATGCTAAAAATCTGTCTGAAAATTCTGAAAATTTCAAGTCAAAAATGACTTTATTCACCCTCAAGTTGTACCTGCAGGAGTTTCTTTCTTCTGTTGAACACACAAGAATAATGAAGAATGGAATTCAAGAATTTCCAAATGGTTGCTGGAAATCATTGACTTCCATAGCAAGGAAAAAAAAAAAATTCAAATGGCAACCAGCATCTATTTGGTTATCAACATTCTTCAATATCTTCTTTTGTGTTCAACAGTATGAAAACAAACACACCGCAAAGCACTGCTAATGCAGTCAAATTTTTTTTTAAATGCTAAAAATCTGTCTGAAAATTTCAAGTCAAAAATGACTATATTCACCCTCAAGTTGTACCTGCAGGAGTTTCTTTCTTCTGTTGAACACACAAGAATAATGAAGAATGGTGGTAACCAAATGGTTGCTGGAAATCATTGACTTCCATAGCAAGGAAAAATAAAAAAATACAAATGGCAACCAGCATCTATTTGGTTATCAACATTCTTCAATATCTTCTTTTGTGTTCAACAGAAGAAAGAAATGCGTACAGGTTTGGAACAACATTAAAGGGATAGTTCACCCAAAGTGAAAATTTGATGTTTATCTGCTTACCCCTGAGGCATCCAAGATGTAGGTGACTTTGTTTCTTCAGTAGAACACAAACGAAGATTTTTAACTTAAACCGTTGCAGTCTGTCAGTCTTATAAATGGAAGTGAATGGGAATCACTGCTTTGAGAGTAAAAAAAACTAACAAAACCAATTTAAACCCTGCGGCTCGTGACGATACATTGATGTGTAAAGACACTAAACGATCGGTCTGTGCAAGAAACTGAACAGTATTTATATTGTTTTTTTTTACCTCTGATGCACTGCAATGTCTGAACTGTCCTGAGCGCGTCCGAGACAGCCGGCAGGAGAGCGTCGTCATCTTCTTGCTTTACGGCAGATTGCAGACTTATAAGTACATTACCACCACCTATCTCTCAAATGGACCATTGACACTCTATCTACAATCTCAATTAGGAGTGTCAATGGTCCATTTGAGAGATAGGTGGCGGTAATGCATTTAAAAGTCTGCGATCCGCCATAAAGCAAGACGACGACGACGCTCTCCTGCCGCTGTCGAGGACGCGCTCAGGACAGTTCAGACAGTGCAGTGCATAAGAGGTAAAAAAAACCGATATAAATACTATTCATTTTCTTGCACAGACCGATCGTTTTGTGTCTTTACACATAAATGTATCGTCACGAGCCGCAGGGTTTAATTTGGTTTTGTTTGCGGATTTTTTTTAACTCTCAAAGCCGTGATTCCCATTCACTTCCATTATAAGACTGACAGACTTGAGTTAAAAATCTTCATTTGTGTTCTACTTAAAGTCACCTACATCTTGGATGCCCTGGGGGTAAGCAGATAAACAATAATTTAGCAGATAAACAATAATTAAACAAATAATTTTGGGTGAACTATCCCATTAAGGTGGCAGAATTTTCATTTTGGGGGGAAACTATTCCTTTAATAGATTAAAAATAAATACATTTAAATGCTAAAGCACACACACAAAGAAAATTATACTAATGCATTTCTTCCCTTTCCCCCCTCCTCAATACAATACTGAACATACGGTTCTTGACAATTCTGGAATCATATAATGATTCATGTTTAAGTTAATATCAATACACCATTTCTATTAATAAAAAAAGTTTGAAAATAAATGTATCTTTCAGATTTATCATTTAAATGTTTGACATCACAGATTCAACATCCTTTGTCTATCCCACATAGCCTTTTCTTCAGTTGCTTTAAATTAAATTAATTAATATTTATGATGACTATCGGTCTATGGATTGGAATTTACTTCAAGACCCAAGGTCTGTGTAAAAGCAAACAGTCACTGTTGGCGTCTATATTATCCAGAACATTATACCCCAAAACATGAGTATCAACGAAACACTGAATATTCAGATAAAACGTTACAAAAAAAGAGGAACACTCACCTGAATTTCATATACATGAGCGATGTGGAACTGAACTGTTGGGTCAAAAAGAGGAACTAATCAATACCAGAAACCCTTTTCTAATGGAAACACTGCATTCAAATCTGATATCAGGCCAAATATTAAACCAGCGTTCTTTGTCTTCACGGTTTCAGCTTGAGCGTTAATAAGCTTATGGGCGTAGACACCGGGAAGGAAGAGTATTAGCTTGCCCTTTGTGCACTTCAAACATGTTATTTACTGCCCGTATGCAAGGCAACACAAGGCTAAATCCAGTCATGCAGTTTCCCTGGCAACTGGAGTCTCAGGCAGGATGGAAATGGTAAGAGGATAAATCTAATTGAGGAAATACTCCTTTTTCTTATAAAAAAACCTCTCTCAAGGAGACAACAAACATCGCTGTTCGCAGCTTTAAAAAAACTCATGCATAATGTGACTGAATGCAGTTTCCTAATAAAAAGATATGTAATAAAAATGAACATGCATTGGTGGGTACTTACTTTCAGCTTTGGACAAAGTGCAGGGTGTGGAGTCAATCAATGCCAGCTGAAAATGCTGCAAGACAAGGTGAAGTTTGATTAGACTGGACATAGTTAGTAACAAAAACTGGGTATTTTTTTATCGTCTAAATTGTCATTCTGAAATTAGATCTGCCCAAATGATTTGGCATTAAATAACCATCCCAACATAATCATCCATCAAAAGAAATTGGCTACAGCGAAAGCACAATTTCTTCTCCAACCAATGCATTTATGTCCAAAAATAAATCTGCTTCCTCTAATAATATGCAACGAGCCATATGGGACTAATAACACAAATTTCCATTGTTACAATGCCATTAAAAACAGATTCCTATATCTATAACTATTTCATAATCAAATGTAATTATGAAATGGAGACAGAAATTTAAGAAATGCATCGATCACGGTTTTCCCAAAACAACCTCAACCACAATTCCATCCATCAAACTATCCCATGATTCCACATCTGTTGAGACACTGATCACTGGACATTTGGATGTTGGCCATAGACTTTTATGAACCCCAGCTGTGTCAAATAACCGCAATTTTTAACCATTCAGAAAATGCACAAGTTCTATGCATTCACCAGCGGCCGAGGTCCTATTAATTTTTATGAGTGAATCTAATGAAGCCTGTCATATTGCTGCAGGCTATGATATAATGTTATGCAATAATGGCCAAAACAATCATGTAGTCATTAATTCCTTCCAATCAAATCCCAGTGTACACTTTCCAATCACTTAAACTTAGAAAGACAAATTAAGTAATACAGAAAAAAGCAATTCTTGCTTCATTCAGTCCTTCTGTAATTGCCATTAGTAAATATGTCTAGGGATGCACAGATATGAAAATTTTGGCAGATACCGATAACAGATAATTCTTTATATTTGAAAGCCAATAACTGATATGTTGGCCAATAAATCTATATCCACATTTTCATAAACTTTTTGAGAGACTGATTACAAAAAAGGTCTCATCATTAAAAGCCACATCCCAGACACTAAAACATAAGCAGCCTAGTTTGAACAGTGTACGTTTTAAAAATAATTTTACTCTCCCATTACCAAATTTCATCATAAAAAGTCTATAAAATAATGCATAAATAACGCAAACAAGTCATTGGACATCATTACATGTGTAAAGAATCAAAATGCATGTGCCATGGATCAATAAAACGGAATGCCAGCTGAAAATGCTGCAAGACAAGGTGAAGTTTGATTAGACTGGATATAGTTAGTAACAAAAACTGGGTATTTTTTTATCGTCTAAATTGTCATTCTGAAATTAGATCTGCCCAAATGATTTTGGCATCAAATAACCATCCCAACATAATCATCCATCTAAAGAAATTGGCATCAGCGAAAGCACCATTTCTTCTCCAACCAATGCATTAATGTCCAAAAATAAATCTGCTTCCTCTAATAATATGCAATGAGCCATATGGGACTAATAACACAAACGTCCATTGTTACAACTTTTCATTACGGTAATTTTCTCTTTATAATGTTATGCATATGACAGTCCCAATCATAGTTATTAATATTGTGCACTGCCGTTCGAGCTGCGTGCGCTGAAGCTGAAGAGCTGAATGAACACGGTAAACTGAAGTGCTGGCAGCTTATTTACTCAAGGAAATGCATCCTATGAGATTAATCAGATATTAATACAACAAACATAATATTAAAAGTTATATATGTACAAAATGAGGCAGTTATTACATGCTATAGTCAGAATGTGTGATCCTGTTGTGGAAGCGCTCTTCCCATAACAACGCGCTGAAACATGGCAAATAAACCCAAAGAATTCACAATGTTTTATTATAATAATGTTCTCATTAGAATGTTATATACACAACATTCCCAATCATAGTTATTAATGTTCTGCTGTTTGAGCTTTTTAATGTTCTGCTGTTTGAGCTGCATGCGCTGAGCTATGATCACCAGTAAACTGAAGAGCTCTGTTAACTTAACCAAACGCATTCTATGTGAGATAAATCAGATATAGGCCTACATAAAATAAACACATTACAACGTACAATTGCACAAAAGGCTGCAAATGCCAAAGTAGGCATGGGCCGATTACCGGTTTCAAGGTATACCGCAATCTGAAAATCTCACGGTTTCAATCACGTTATACCGTTCCTGCGGTATGCACTGTTTTCCCATGTCTCCTCAAAGACTGAAAGTGTAGGAATCCCTCAGGTTAAGTGCAGTGTAGAGAGTAACACGCCCCTCCCCCTCCTGTTGGTGCGAGCGAGCGGTCAGTCACGTGTCTATGATGGCCGAAGGAGCTTCCTCTGGAACTTACGCAATCTGCAACTGGCCGTATATTGTTTTATTGCAGCCGATCTCTTCTCTGGACTTGCACAAACTGCGTTGCAATGCATATTTTCCAAATGTCATTTATGTGAAAATATGAAGTCTGTAAACGCCCTTTAACAGAGGCCAGAGACGCTGAAGACGGACGCACAGACACAAATACTGTAGCAGGCAGATCCCTCACTGTTCATGATGCACAAACTATTGGAAGAAAATCCTAAATATTGATTTGGGGGTTTACATGAATGTGTTTGAGAGGAACTGATTGTGTTCGGAAACGTGTAGATGGTATTTTCTTTTCATCTCGTATAATTCACATTAAAGCAGTGTTTCAGCTCAGCTCTGCTTTGTTTAGTGCGATAACCAAGGAAACGCTGTATCAGCGCCTCCTGCTGTCAGAGAGTGAATCTGCGTCCCATTCCGAGCTTTTGCTGTTTGTTTCGTTCAGGAATGTAGTATAATTTCACAAAGCTAGTCAGAACATTCTGTTTTTGCTTCAAATTGGGTTATGAAATCAAATTATGTATATGAAATTAAATAAATTAATGATATGAAATTATATAAATGATATGTATATGAATTATATAACTAAAATTAAATAATTGTAATTACAGATTTAGGTTAAATATGTCAGTCTTTATTTTTCTTCTTTTTAGGGCAGCAGTATCTCTAGCAGCAAATCAACCATCCACATCAAAAGCTGCAGGACAGCCCACATTTCAGAAACAAATCAAAGAAAAAATAAACAAATACTACTGTTCCAAATATTCTGTATGTTGCTCAAAATATATTGTGTTCAGTTTTTTTTTTTTACCAGACATTTGAAATTAACATTAATACCGTGATATTTTTACTTAAGGTTATCATAAAGTCAAAATTTCATACCGGCCCATGCCTATGCACAAGCAAACTTAACTGTCATGGAGGTGTAGGCTAGTTCCGTTGTGGGCGAGCTCAACGCACGCACAAAACACGGGCGCACAAAGATTCAACAACATTATTTACAGTAATGTTCACATTATAATTTTATGTAGCCTTTATGACAGACTTGCCCTGCACATGTTGCACTTAAGTGTATTGTCCTTTTCGAAATGATTCCAACTACATTTCAAGCATTTCAAAACCATCATGGCGAACAGCGCGCATCTGAAGTGTCTCTGAAGGAAATAATGCATTATATATCAGACATTTGAAATTAACATTAATACCGTGATATTTTTACTTAAGGTTATCATAAAGTCAAAATTTCATACCGGCCCATGCCTATGCACAAGCAAACTTAACTGTCATGGAGGTGTAGGCTAGTTCCGTTGTGGGCGCGCTCAACGCACGCACAAAACACATGCGCACAAAGATTCAACAACATTATTTACAGTAATGTTCACATTATAATTTTATGTAGCCTTTATGACAGACTTGCCCTGCACATGTTGCACTTAAGTGTATTGTCCTTTTCGAAATGATTCCAACTACATTTCAAGCATTTCAAAACCATCATGGCGAACAGCGCGCATCTGAAGTGTCTCTGAAGGAAATAATGCATTATATATCGGCTTAAGATATCGGCCAAATTTTCTTATCGGGCCAACAGAAAAAACTTTAGCAAAACGAAATGATTCCAACTACATTTCAAGCATTTCAAAACCATCATGGCGAACAGCGCGCATCTGAAGTGTCTCTGAAGGAAATAATGCATTATATATCGGCTTAAGATATCGGCCAAATTTTCTTATCGGGCCAACAGAAAAAACTTTAGCAAAACAATTAGCATTTATCGGTCGATACCGATATGGTGGCCGATATATCGTGCATCCCTAAATATGTCTACACATATATAGCTAATAAATGATTCTGACTCGAGAGATGAAACACAGCAAGGTCATGAGGATGTGATCCTGCGTCCGACACAGCTAGTATTGTAAATTATGTTGTGCGCAGGGCATAGTAACACTCTCTCTGAGAAGCATGATCACAACACTAAATCACAAACCTTTTAACAACCCCAGACATAAAGAACCACCAGCTGCTCAGGTTACCAAGAAACCAGCCCAAAAGCAAAACCTTTAATAAAGCACTGAACCTGACCCAGCATAGAGGTACCTAGAGGAAACCCATCAACCTGCATAGCAACAACTGAGGAACGTGGCCAAGCATTACAATGTCCTGATGACCAGCGTACAGAACTCAAAGATACGACTTTCAATATAATACAACCACTGAAGTCAAATCAACAGACAATACCCAAAATGGATACCGAATTCACATATTTTAGAATAATGGAAATATAAAATGGTGTGCAACCAAGAGTTAAAAGTTAAACATTTAACAATCGCAGCACTTACATGCCAACAAATCATCACTACCTTCTGTCAAATACAAGAAAACATACAAACACACATCTATCTGCTTCATACAGACATCCTCCAACAAACAGAAACATGGATTACTGACCATAGAAAGCCCTTTGTGCTGAGCTGATCGCCACTGACCAACTGCTTCCTACACACTCGCTCTCTCTCTATGGCACTCGACTGGCAAGTAGATAATGCAGCAGGATTACCAGTATGTCTCTCTCTCTCTCTCTAATACGGATTACTATTCACATTAGAGCAGCGGCAGCAGCTGAGAGATGACACGCTGCTCTTTCCTCTCTCTCTCACTCCATACCTCCAGGCATTTTTCATCACACACACAACATACGGCAGCCATAAGCTTT